AACGGTTTTATTGTTTCATTTACTCCGTTCTCAGCCATATTCACATTTCATTTGTACTCAGTTTTATCGTTATCTCCCTTATTAATTCTGGTGTTGATTAACATTGGGAGCCAATCAGAAGCAGCCTAATGAGGTCAGTAAATGGCAGCCAGAAGTGACCTAATAGACGAGTGAATTTCGTTAGCTAAGGAATGGGTCAATTTCCCAAGTATTAGAGTGGTATATGTATGGATGAGTATTTGTGTATTTTGTTCGGTAGACCATTACACCTCGCTCAATTAGTCAGATTGGGAGTCAGAACGTAGCATACAGCATGTCACTGTCAGATTTTGGACGCCTCCCGTAACAACATTTATAAACTGAACTTTTATGAAGATGCTATAATAATATTACGATTTTTCCTAATTAACGAAGTAATTTATTTTATTGGCCTATAAAATTACAACTATATCGCAGTTTTTCAGCTTATACGAGTCCCTGTGTATGTTAAAATTGCAAAGCACATGAAAAAGACCTTGCTTCATCGCATGATGTTTGTTGTACTTAGTTTAAAAAGCCTACTAAGAGAATTTCACGGTAATGACGTTCCTCAAAACAAATAGTTTAATTTAATCTTAACCCAGGTTGATTTACTGAACCTAAGTGGCTGAGAAGTTCAGTTAAGCATAGGTGTCACTCTTCAGTATCACTCAAATGAAACGCTCCAGCCATCCGATCGATGATCAAAATTTAGTCTCGTACTCATCCACTTCCGTGTACGATCAAGGAAATCATTCCTTCGATCAGTGACTCCTTCAACACAATATATGGGTTCTCCTGAGTATAACGTTTAACACAACTTGGGGTCAGTATCGCTTTGTCCTGCTGTATTAAATCAATTTTATTAATGGGCCTCATTATTGACTTACATATATCTGGATTCTACACCACATCATGTCCAATCACAAATCCAAACTCATCGAAACTTATATGCCTTCGTCCTTCAACTTACCCAATTTTCAGTGAGAAACACAAAGTCACTGATCTTGTTTTTTCTAAGTTAATGGCGTGACAACTAACATTTACAATTCATAGTTCTTGTAAGGGAATGCCCGTGATAATTAAATGGGTGCTTCGAAATATTAGCATTTGGCTCTAGTGTCACTGAATCCCCTTATATGACCTTCCTTAACACTGTTTACTGACGTGTATCACTCTCATTTCTAGTTTACAGGGATAATTTTACCACCCAATTTCCATATCCTCCTGGATTTCATAATGTGTCACCTTACTTGTACCGTTTTTATTGACAATAATTTTGTTTTATTTAACGTTATATACTAGCAGCTGTCATAGTGGCTTGTAGCCGTTTGATTGTTTTTTTCTGAAATGGTTGGTTTAATTGACCCCCTTGTCACAGTACTTTATTTCTCATTTTTAGAAGCATCCATTGTTGTTGACCGTTTTGGTCATTCACTTCAAAGCGAGTTAAAGTGTTCTATCTTTCGAGATATAACTTCGTTTTCTACTTGGTAGGAACATCCTTATTTTTGACATGATTGCATAGGGGTTTGAGCTATTCATCATCACACACTTAATCACCTAACTGCTGTGATTTTGTCAATCCGTCGATGAGTTTTTAGCGAATTAGAATATTGGGTTGTATAGAACATAAATTTGGAACTCAAGATTTTCAGAACTTTACAGTCTGCCCTATCGAAGGGAAGCTCCTGAGATCTTAACTCTACTTTTTTTCTATTGTCTTCTTTTTTTGTTTCAGTGGTGTTTTTGAGCTTCGAATAATTTATATGGATTAGTTTCAAATTCCGATTCGGAGGACCCTCGCGTTGTGAAAACTAGCCATAATATGGGAGTAGACGTATAAACTGGTCCAGAGTGTACAGAACAAATTAGATAACCATTTTGGTTGGTAATTAAACTGGGATTTTAGTAAGCTTGTATAAAATGGAATCATTTGAATACAAAGTTTAAACATTGATGAGTAAGTTGTCGATAAACACCTTACCCAGAACTGCGAGGTGATTATAGTGTAAAACCAGCATTAAGAAGTTATGAGAATACTTATACCCAAGGAGGTGAGATGTTTCTCTAGTCTCCTAAGAGTTCCCTGCTTATGATGCATGTAGTAGGACGAGTTAATTCCATGAGATATCACGTCGAGCATTAATACTAAGTAACCTTTACAAAGTAGCAGACTATGGTACTAGAAACGAATCCGTACTTGACTGTGAACGACTATTCTGGTTCAGTGTGTTACGCCTTTTCATTGCATCCTGTAATTACAAGCATCGTCATGTCGTTCCTATGAAATTACTACTATGGATGCTGGAATGGGTAATTTCGAGATTCTGTTGATAAGTTCAATGCTGATCTGCTGTGTGCAAATAAGCACGAAATAGGAGCATAGTTGACTTTATGAGTTATGAACCGTTCTGCAATTGGCGAGATTAAAAAGCTTGGTGCGCTGTCAATGGTTATAATTTGGACTACGATCCTCAATCACAGTACAAAACCGTAAGAATCATAATCAAATATGGCGCTTCTGACAACCACTTGGTTTCAAAGTGATGTAAAAAGAACAGGAAACAGTCACTTTAACTTTCGCACACTGTATGTTGGTGCTGCACATAAGTCAGTCAGGTGTGGAAATTCGTATCTTAAGTATTGTCCTAGAAACAAGACACAGAGCGGCAGTGCATTACATATGCGCTACAACAGATACTGGAATCTGCTCAATCCTTGTCCTGCTGAAGGTAGGATTAGCACCCCGAAGAGGATCAAATCATACCATGTTAAGGACTTGGAGAGACAGGTGTTGGAGGTTGCAGACTCTTAGAGTTGCAATTCGAAATGGGTAGCGTAATGTATCTACCACCACTCTATAATTAGGCCCAGATACAGTTACACTAGACTGACAGGCTGAAGCCATTCGGATTGTAGGCCGAAATGGAGTTAGTCCAGTCCGATCCAGAAGATAAAAGTGTGCATCTGCAAGGCTATGTATTTCTCCTGTAATTGACGAATCTTCCTGAAAGAAAAACAGCATTACTTTGAGTGTGTGAAATTAAGTAATGTTGTAATACCCTAAAGAAGACTCCCAAGGAACTGAGTAACGAAGTTAAGGATAAATGGCAAAGCACCATTTCTCACTGGAAGAACAACAGTCTCAGAAGCTGAGTCGATGTTATGATTTCAAGTTAGTGGAAAAAATATATTTAAATGCAGAGAATCACTGTGCTGAAATCCATGCAGTTTTAAGACTGCATGTAAATACTTTTAGTCCCGTAACACTACCACTTTTATATACAAATTATGATAGCCTGTTTTATTGATATGATCGGAAAGATACAAAATACTTAGGTCCGGCATTTAACAAACACCATTCAGTCCCGCTGACTGATTTGGGTACTTTCCTGATAAAAGCAGGAGAATGTATTTACTAAAAAAGCGTTGAATTAACACCTTACAGACAGATAATGACGAAAGGGTATTATCAATCTGGACTTGGAAACCTGTGGAGAATAGTAAGCTTACGCTCTAATCGTTAGGAGTCTTGAGATGAGAGTTAGAATGTCTAGCTACCAAGCTAATTATCCACTTGCTCCATTAAATACTGTTATTATTCACCCATAAGAATATCACTGCAGTCAGTTGCCCATATCTACAGAGAGAGACAAACTTATCTTATCACATAGAAATGTTCAAAGCAGCTCGATTACAGATTTCACGTTGGTTGATAATGTGAATTACTTTTGGATATTTGCCCCACCGGAATGGTGAAGTTGTGAGTTGTGAACTGACTACCGGCTGGTTGACTATTAACTTTCACAATATTTATTCATCCAGTAAGACCATCGAACTCAATTCTTAGCAAAGATCCTACTAGTAAACATGGTTAAAAAATAAGGTCACACAAAAGTTCTCATCGTTCGAATTGAATCAAAATATCCTGTACTTTATCCATTGCTAAATGAAAATAGAATTACATTATGATGGTCCTGAACCCATAGATAATGGCTAGTGGGATCAAACACTTAATTCCATAATTTGCAAGGTCTACAGAATACACCAGAGGTTTAGTTATCGATGTATCGGCTGTTAGACGTCAGAGATTACCATTTACGACAAAAAAACCCGATATACTTTGGCTTGAAACTATGGCTGGATTTATATTAGGCTACTCTCTATGGGCTAAAAATTTCACGTATTGAGAGGTGCTGATACAGGAAGTAGCGTAAACGTGAAGTCAACATGTAACCTATAACTTCGTGGCTAGCTAATTACCAAAACTTAATTATTGAGATCTAGTGCACTTAGGCTTGAAAATAAACTGGTCATTCGAACACATCAATTACAATTCAGTAATACACAGGCTAATCGAAAAAACTGAGATTTTGAACACTCACTTCTAGATAAGTTTCTTGGACTTCAAATATTCCATTTGTGTTACATCCATCATCAGTATTGGTAGTCAATTTATGAGGAAAATCAAGATAGCTTTCTGATATATCATAATAAAATTTGTTCTGTTCGTCATCTAGGATAGACAAAATCTGGGTGAAGAGAACATTGCAGAGAGAAGAATCGACAATAGTTTCATTAGCTGTCTCCTCTGTTTGAACAGCTATGGAAGACATGGATTAGTTGATAATACAACAACAATGTGGTGCACATAAACGTGAATGAAAGGTAGGCGATTCCTAACACGTGATTGGTTGGCAGTTATAATGCATATCATTTGAAAACAGGCAGAAGGACCATTTCAATGAACCATAAGAAAGCACTCATGAGAATTTAATCATTAAATTACTCGTAGAAGTGTATTTCATTTGTTCGAACTATCACTTTCATCAGGACAGCTCAAACATCACCAAGATGATAATATCAACTGTATCAATTTCAGAAACCTATTAAAGTGGATAAAAATGCCAAATAAAAAAAGTTGATTTGTTTTTTTATTTTAACATCCGCTTGTAGTACATCACCTCTGGCGCCATTTTGGTCCGTTTGTCTAAAGGTTGGTTCCCATCGTGTACTGTTGTTATGTTTGTTTAGGTATATTAGCATGATGCGCCCGTTTATTGATTCTAAGGCTGACCAGGATAAAAAGTTGTTCATCGGCGGTTTAAGTCCTAAAACAGATGAGAATTCGCTCAAAAATTATTACGGTCAATGGGGTGAAATCATTGATGTTGTCGTTATGAAAGATCCTAGATCTCAGAAATCTCGAGGGTTTGGTTTTGTGACATATAAGGATTCCTCGTCCGTTGATGCTGCACAAAACAATCGCCCACATACTGTAGATGGAAAGGAGGTGGATACCAAGCGTGCCATGCCCAGAGAGGAAACAAGTCCTGAGGTTCATGCTGCAGTAAAGAAAATATTTGTAGGTGCTTTAAAGAAGGATGTAACAAATGAAGATCTTAGTGATTACTTTTCTCAGTTTGGGACCGTAACTGATGCACAGATTGTTATAGCTAAAGATACGAATACATCCCGGGGCTTCGCATTCGTTACGTTTGATGACACAGATGCAGTAGACAAAGTTATTTTAGCTCGACCACATACTATCAAAGACTCTAAGGCAGATGTACGAAAAGCACTCAGCCGAGAAGAAATGAATAAAATGAGGTCAAAACCTGCACCTATGAGAGCAGATTATAACGGTGGTGGCTGGCACGACAATGCAAACGGAGGTTTCCAGCCTCAGTCATGGGATCAGGGTTACAATCAACCTTACGCACATCAACAGCCTTATGCTTATAACGGAGCAGGCTATGGTAAGTCACCAGATTTGTCGCTAACATTACGCTCAGGTTATGGTGGTTACGATGCAGGTTGCCCTGCAGGTGGTTGGCCTAATGCTTCCGACGGATTCGGCAATTATCAGCAACAAGCCTATGGTGGTGGTCCAATGAGAGCGACACCTGCAAATGCACAGTATTCCCGTCCTGCTCCATATTCCGGTAATGGTTGGCAACGCTAAAGTTAATTTTGTTATTTCAATACCAAACGCCTAGTGCATTTTGACAACTTTTTATCACTTGCTGTAAAATATACAAATCAGTTATTCTGCTATTGCCTTGTACTCCCAGCCGCTTGATGCTAATGTTGAGAAGCTAGTTAGGTCGCTATTGGAAAAAGATAAGGTATGGCACATTGCGACTCGTCACATCGATTCCCAGTTGTATACTCAATATGGAGAGGAAGCTCCCGTGAGACTCCATGAAGAACTGGATTGTGTTGCAGCAAGGAGGTTACAATCAATTCAAAGGTGGTCAGCAAACAAGGTGGGTTTGAAGCTAGCGATTTTGGGTTGCACTAATTCTGTTCTTAAGCAAGAATTAGATGGCACGTACTAGTTTTCAAATTCTTAAGTACATTTAAAGATTTGCTAGGTTAAGCATTTGGAATTTTAGTCTTTAGGTATGTAGGTTGGTGTTTCTGTTTGGACGTGCGATTCAACTCTAGTATTTATAGCTCTAAGGCCCTTGTACTGCTTTCATGTCGTCGAACCGAGTAGTAGTGTATTTTATGTGCGCGGCGTGCTGATACCTGAGAGGTGATAACCATATCGTATTTCAGCCTCCTTCATCACAAACCTCTCCAGTTACTTCGTTTCCGTTAAGTAAACTTAGAGTATTTCTGTATCAAGTTCTAGCTGCTAATAGAATAATTGAAAGCATTTCGTGATTTAACTAATCAAATGCTTTCGTCATCCACTTGTAGACGGTGAGCTGGACTCCTTACCATCTGGCTTAACGCGAGACGAGTGCAGCCAATTTTTTACATCAATCGACGCAACTGATGAATCCGTTGGTTTTCTACACGATGTTTGTGTTTTGTCTAGGGTTATTGGTGAATAAAAGTACTTTGTTTCTACCTGAAAGGGTTTTGTTTCAAAGTTTTTGAACAATATAACAGATACATTTTGAGAGATAAAAAGCATTCTTTTCTCTCTTGAAATTAGTGTTGCTACTATTTAACTCAAACTAGCACTGGCAATTACAGTAAATTCGTGTTTGTAGATATTGCTGGAGTATTCGTGGCTTAGTTTAGTGGTCCGGATCATACTAATTAATAAAGCGGTGATGATCATTAGCCGCTACAATATTGTAGTTCCCCAAGTACTGTTTTGGATATTAAGGACTGCGCATGATTGCTCCACTAATTAAGGTGATGTTCAGAATGCTTTTTGAATGAAACCGAGTAAACCTCTGCTCGTGTAATATTACATAGTTTATTGAGTGGTCCTCTCGGTGCATGCATTTAATTAAAACCAATGTGCATTAGTCGAGCACTTAGTACTACCATGATTGTAATGCTGTCTTGGTAATTGTGTTGTCATAGGCCGACGCCAGTCAAGGTTTTCAAATTAATACTGACTATCCTTTCACTGGTAGCTCATAAAGCATATAAGTGTTCGAGCTCGTTTAAAGCCATACTTACAGTCCCTATGTATGAGGATTTGACAGTTGCAACCAAATGAAATCCAAACTATATCAAGTCAGATATAACTAGTAGATATCTCACCTATTGGGGAGTTTTTAGGAGGACAAAACGAAATGTTATGTAGATCTAGAGATATAGGGTATTCTGGGACCCACACAGTTATTCGATATTTAATTGAGATGATAAGAAACTAATATGATGGTAAATCTACTTAGAAGTATTAGGTTCGTAAAAAAACCCACTTGGGTTCGAAAGGATGAGTGGGGTTAACATCGCTTTATTCTTGCCCCAATATGGTCGGCTTCGTCTGTCTAAAAAACTTAATTGTTGTGAGCGGATGCCGATCAATTTTGTTAATATAAAAGCTTTCCCACTTGAATTTCATTCGTATTTTGACCGGAACCGATATCTTTCGGGGTCTACTGGTTTCTGCCACATCTATACCCAAGGATTTACTAATTCTGGGCGCAGTTTTGTATTTAGGTATAGTCAGTCAGGCTCCCTTGTTTACTGAGTGCTAAGTAACCTTACAAGACGAATATCCTCAGGTGCTAATCACTTTATTTTTTGTCCAATGACAAACCAGTCATCGCGGTTGTGTATGTTTCTACAGATTGGTTTTATTAAGCGAATTTTATGAAGTCTTCCGTATTGGTTATGCGTTATTGAGTTGTTCATAATTAATAGGTTTTGTTTTCTAGCTTAATATAGGGCTTCCCATATTAGAAATCATAACCAGTTCAGGGTCTGACACAAATAATAACCGGCTCAGATTCACAAATTAGCGGGCATCAGTTCACAAAGTGAAAGAGTAACAACGGTGACATTTATAAACTGAACATAGGAAATATAATTCAGAAGTGACAAAATCGCATTGGGGGTAATATGGGATGACACTTTCGGTTTTCAGGAGAGAAAAGTGAACAACTACGTGAGAGCTTTTCAGTTGAGAACCCTGTGGTCCTTACTGTAGCCTAACACTATCTCGCGAACCACAAATACGGAGTCTGGATTACGCGGCTCAGCTGAATGTCCGGTGTTGAACTGATCTTAAGTGTTGGTGTGCCCCAGCCGCTAAGTTCCCACATAAAAGATAGTCTTCAAAAAATTGTATTGATTCCATGTATGTATATTTATGTCTAATAGGTAGTTTGGATTAATTTCTTTATGTTCTGGGTCGATGACTACAACTGATTTGCATATTGAAATGCTGATTGCCATTTACGCAGAAGTTACCATTACTGGTAAAGCTTCCATGTTCGTAAAATTTGGAGGGCACTACAGTATAGTTTTCAACTCCACCTTTGATGTTTAGCATTCTTTCATAAAAATAGCGTAAAGACTAAGTGATATTTACAGCAATAGCTTGTTTGGCTAGGTGGTAGTTAAGATATTCTTAGCACCGTTTATAGATATTTCCACTTCATGCGCTCATCATATCACCTGTTCATTACAAAATTAAAGAATCTGGATATACTGTTGACTGAACATATTTAACATGTCAAACATAATCTGGAAGTGAATGGGGACAATTTAAACAGTTTTTGAGTATTGGTTTCTTAAACCAGGTTAAATCGATAAGATTGTGATCGCGTGGCAATATGTAGTTTAGTCTAAACAAATTGTAAGAGTGGATGTATAAAGTAGTAACCAAGACTTTCATTTAAGTTAGTAGGATGATTTGCGTCAAAATGTATATTGCTTTAAAGATAAGCCATCAAATTTGAATAATTTTTCGATCTCATTTGCATGGTAATAACAGTAAATAAAAGCTACGGGAACGGTATCAAACCCATCTGTTATGTCCCTATCATAAGGTTATAATCGATTTCGAAATAATTTCAACTGTTACTCGTTCTTGTGTGCACAACATACCTACCAATGTTTGTGACTTGTTTCTCTCGCATAATGAAACCATGTCGACTTCAGTCATGGCATCGTGAGTTGGTGTATTAAGTAAACGTTATTTAGAAAATACTTGGGCGGATCGTGCTATTTGTTACAAATACAAAAGTACCACGTTGAATCTTCAAGGCTTGGCGAACTCTTGGTTGCAAAAGCAGTCTGGTGTTGTCAGTGCTCCGTCAATTATTGACTGTCGTGCTAAATACTCATGCGATCGATTATGTATTGCCGGTCATGGACAAACTACTCATTAAAAAAACGTTTAGTTCAGAATAGTTACAAGTTCTGATTTCGAGCTGGTGATAGATATGGGTGGTAGGAATCTTATGATTATAAACCTGTTTTTAAAGCAAAACTTTATTCTATTGACTTATGGACTAGGCCTTTTGGTAAGTATCTGCTCTCCTCTTCTTTCGAAGTTTTGATTTTCGGACAGTAATATATGCTTCAAGCATGATATTAAGTATCATAATAAAGATTGAGCAAAACCTACTCTTTTCGTTAGCACTACTGAAGGCTATCATAAGACCAACACTTAATCCCGTAATTTATCCCTGTGTTGCATTTAAATTTACTATCGTTATTAAATTAATGATCTCCGGTCCTGTAGTACGAATCATTCTGTTTCTTATACAGTTTGTAACTAATTTGGAACTGACAATCGGGTTTTGTAAATGTGGCACTTCACGTTATCTCATGAGTTACTTTTCCAGCACATACCTAAGACCGTCTATCTTGTGATAGACAGTTATCAGAAGTCTAAATATTCGTGGATGTAAACTTGAAAGTCTGGAGAACTGTGCTGGATGTGGTTTCTTACAGTGAAAATTAATCTGTGTCACTTGAAACAATCTTAATTTTAGTCTACTTCCAAAATATATCCACACTTCAGTAAATGCGGTTCTCTTTTACACCTTTTGGAATCTGTCACCTGAGCTGTGGGCATGCAACAATCACGTACTCTCTTAACTTCAGGTCTGTTTATTCTCTTATGATACCGTTATATAGGCGATCCTATGGTCTCATTCTATATTACATCATCATACAATTTGCATTTCGACAAGTTAGTCGATCTTGGCATTCTGTTGTTCGTTTTTGAATGCCCTAGTAAATGCTATCTCGGTAGCTTTTATGATAACTACTAAGTTGAAAATGGGTCTATTTGGGTAGGATTGTGTTTGGTTAGAATTCGTAGTTCTGGTTTCCATGTGTGGGATCTTAAAGACACTGTTTTAAAGCTAATAACTAAATGCAGTAATGAAGGTGCTGCAGATTTTTTTAAAATTTAGGACTTGACCAAACCGATGGTGGAGGTCTTTTTGATGTATCGTCCATGGATAAAGGCTTTTATTATTCTCTCAATTGTAATTTTTTTAATCTCTATTTTTCTTGCACATTTCAAGTATATATTAAAAACAAATAAGTCCCTAAGAAAGCCGTTCTCATACTGCTCGGTTGTATCTTTCTGGTTTATATTATTTTTAACTTTCTATCACTGGAAGGTGTGATAACGTGAACCGTTACATAGTAAACGAGATTTCATTTACCAATCATTTATAAGTTCCTTCCTTATGCACATCTTGAAAATATTTTAGGATTCTAAAGGAGAATACAGAACAAGTCAAGTAGAGAAGAATAACTTCCGATGGCCATGATCATAGTTAGTAAACACTGCTTAACTTATGTATACTGATTATCTTTCTAAGTTTTATTTAATAATCGCACCATTTATTATTAGCAGTTATTGATGGTCGGCAGCTCTTAATGGTTTTGTCAGTTAAAAGTTGTCGAAAGTTGGAAATACATTTATTTAGATTATTTATGCTTTAAAAGTCACCACTGAAATTTTACTGATTTATGAAGAGAAAGTACATAAATGTTTTCATGACGAACTGACAATCACTTAGTCAGTTTTCAGAGCAGATTTATAAAATTTGTTAGCTCAAATACCTTTTATTTTTGGCTTTATTGAAGTTGAAATTTATTAAAGAGAAACCAGATATTTTAATTTATTGGGTTCACTAATTATTAAGTGGCTAAACTATACTTGTCTTACCTCAAATTCAGAAGTTTTAAAATTTATCTTCGATATATTTGAATACGTACATACCTGGGAGTATTATAAACTACAATAGATAGAACAAGTACCTGTTTCTCATGAACTTTTGTCAACCTCCGTCGGATACTAAGTTATGAAGAAACGAAACTAGCCAAAAAATCTTGAAAATTCTCTGTAATCTTTTATGCCCATTTCTGTGTCTTCTTAATAAACATGATCTCTTTTCCAGTCTATACGAATATTCGTCAAGATTAGAACGAATAGTTTGACAGTAATTTTCCAGTCTATTATTGTATAGTATCTACGTTCCTAATAACGACAGTTCCTTGTAGTTATCTTGGAATATTATTACAAAAATTACTTGTTAAATGAATGTTGTTATCCTTTCTAATAAGCATTAGGAAAATGATGAATTTAAATAAAATATGTTAGTTGAAATAATGAGTTTCTGTAATTCCAGGAATGTTCAAAAATTCACTCTAAAAAAATTGTGTAGTAAATCAGTTAATAGGTTTGTTTGTAGTATCCTATTATAAATCGTCTAAGTTAGCTGTCTCCAAAATATTTTTTAAACCACACCTAAATACATATTGTTCTGTTTAAATAATTTCAAGTCACTAATCATTTTTGTGATCGAATTTTGTTTGACATCCTGGACTTTGTTGTTGGCCACAATTCATCTACTTCACAAGACTTGAAAAAATAGTTATATCGAAGCATTTTCCACAGGATCCACCTATAACAACAAAGACTGATCAAAATTCAGTCAAGAACTATAAATTCAAACTTTTCTAATCACAACACACGATGTTATTGTTCAACAAAACTATTATCCATCTAGTTAGTAAATTCATATATTTTGTTGTCCACTTGTAGAAGTTGGTTTATAATTGCAGTTTACTTTTTCACATTCTCATTAAATGTTATACTGTCAGAAAAATAATTAATCCACTCAAATCAATTAAAATTTATTTCTACTTTTTTTAGATACTTAAGTTGTATTGAACTTATTCAAATTGTAATTTGTAGATACTGTATCTTCTGGTAATATTTTAGTATTATAAAACGTAATGAAGTTATTATTCAAAGTTTGTGCGAATAGTGATTTATGTTCGAGGAGTAGTTG